AACATACGTTTTTTTTTGTTTTTGTTTTTTTGTTTTGTTTTTTACGATTATTCTTGAGAAAAGTGAATGTCGACGAAACTTTGTGCATTATTTTTTTTTCCTTTTCTTTTAATTTTTTTTTGCATAATTATTATTTTAAAAAAAACGTCGACAAAGCTTTGAACTAAATGGTGTCGGACTCCCTTTCTAGAGGTGCATAGGGAAACGGCGGAGCTTGGGTTGCCGGATGGACGCCGCGAAGCAGCATTCATACTTTTTTTTTTCGGTAAGGCAAATGCTGCTGACCTGTGACTCCCGTTGAGAAGGGGAAGAGTCAAAACAGAGTCACATGAAAAATGTCTCTCTAAGAGAGTCGTGAAGTGTCAAAGAGAGTCATGGAAGCAGTGACTCCCTTTGGACTCCTTTTTTTTTTTAAAGTGTAAGATCCTTGCTTGGGGGTACAACAATATTTAGATATCCAATAATACTAAATCTCAGAGAAAAAGTTGTACGAATACTCAAATATTTGGGGGCAACCTAAGAAAAAAGGGCACTCAACCATCCTTTAAAAGTACAAAAATCTAGTGTGCGTGCTACTTTACATGTCGTTAAGTAATTTATATGATACACTAACCTGTTATCAGTGGCAAAACGGCAAACGAGAAACACCGTAGTCAAATTAAAATGTTTTATTTATGTCCATTTTGGAATGCGTTGACGTAGCGAAAATAACAAACAATTTGGTTGATCTACGTGCCTCTCTACCTCCGCAGCAAAACAGGGAAGCACATGCTAAAAACGCAGACCTATGGTACATTCATCAAGCAAGACCGGAAAAGCTATATATCAGTGTGGAACAAAATAAATTAAATACATGCAATCCAGTATTCATAACTCAACTGTTTAAAACACCCGTGAAAGAAGCAAGTATATGATTATTGAAGATAGCATTTTTGGGGACTCAGTGTTGCTACATGAATTTAACAAAAATGATTAAGTAGCCATTTCTTCGCGTTAAAGGGAAACCCCGTACTGCGAGTAATTACCAAAGCAGAACCCACATTAGCAGGGGTTTCCTCAGGAGTTGAAATTAGGGGTCAGGGGGTCTAAATGTTTAGGGGGAGGGGGGGGGGGCGGCATTGTGAATAGTGGAGCCGTTGCGAATTAAATGGTGGCTTCAGAAAAACAAGGGGTGTACAACCCCCCCCCCCCCCCTTTCCTGGAGTGTGTGTAGCAAAATTACTGCACATTAGGTAGCTAGTAGTTTAATAAATACCTTATTCGAAATAAGCTTTAGGCAGTGATTCCCGATATAAAAAGAAATCCAACGAAAAACTGGAAGGTAGAGTTATAAAAGTTCAAGAAAACCTGAACCATACTGCAGTTTAAATGAAAATGTCTCATAAAGTGTTTGATAAATAATCGAAACTAGGCTGTTTGTACCATTTGATAGCTTTAAATATTTTCTTCCTAATTCTGAAGGTTACGCATTTCATTTGCATTGTTCTATTATTTTTTATGTGTGTTTTCTTCAGACTTGGACGTAGTTCAACTACTCTACTCAAACTACTGCAGTTTAACTACTTTTTTGAGTAACTTGGTAACTTTCAATTACAATTTGATTTGGGTAATTAGTAGTTTAATTTAACTACTTTTTTCAGGTAACTTCTACTCAAATTACTAACTACTTTCGAAATTATATAGGGCTAATTTTGCCCATCACGAAAGTTTGAGCTAAGAAATGAGTAAGACGCCGGCATGATGAAGAGGCATTCCCTAACATGGGGCCCCCTTGTTCGGAAGGTGTCCTTGGGTCAAGGTGGCGACGAGCAGCCAAAACATAACACCCCACGCACGAATGCAGGAAGAGATGCTTAACAAGCCTTGGTCGGGTATTGACCTAATCCGGTAATGCACGCAGGCGTCGCGTTTCCAGCTGCAACCGTGAAAGACGGGGACACTCCGATAGTTGTTGTCTGTCTTTAATGAGTTCTGACTCAAGCGGTAGGTTCCACGGGAGGCGCCACTGGAATGACCTCGCAGCTGGGCGCCTGTTCCCATGGTCGCCTTGTCGTAAGCGCATACACCTTTGCAAAGCCGGACTCCCCCGCGCACAAACCCTGGCACAGATAATCCGTTCATGGAAGCACGTTCCCGCTTCCAGCTGCAACTGTATACGAGCGACGATGCTTGTTTACGTAATCCTTCGTGTCCTTCCGACCATCCACGCCAGGGAGACCTCCTCTTTGTTAAAAACGATTTACTTGTCAGGCGTGTCAGACGCGTCAGAATATTGTAGTCGCCGGCGAGGATTGGGAGTTACCCTTGGGAGATCCTTTTGTTGGACCCGGCGTCAGCGGCGAAGTATACTTCGGTTCATCTTCTGTTAGACCAAAACATTTCTTTTTTCAGTAGCGTAGCACTAGCACTACAACGGGACGCGCAGTCGTCCGGATGATCACATCGTCGTGGCGCGAGACTTGAACCCTTGACGGTCTGGTGCACTCGCTCAGCGTACTCTCAGAACGACGTCGGAATAAAGAGGGGCCAGTCATAACAATCTCAACTTGACAAAGAAAAAATAAAAAAGGAGGAAAGTTTGTTATAAAAGACCCTCTACCCGAGGCGAACCTCACATGTTTCGTCATGGACACCTAAGATGCCGACACTCGCTTACTCGACCCTGCACAGCCTGTTTCTCAAATTCAACGCTGCCGCTCCATTCAGTGTCACGGTGGAACGTCTATTTAGCTTGGCTGGGGACGTCTTTAAAAGAAAAAGGGGAAAACTCTCCTTTCAAAAACTTTGAAAGTCAATTGCCTCTGCGAGCGAATAAACTATTTTGGCGAAAACGCAAGCTATAAATAGACTGCATTTATTTTAGGCTCGCAGGGTTTTTCATTGATCAAAACTGCTGTTCATTTCGCCACCACAAAAATATAAAAAAAAGTAACTTCGAAAGTAACTTGAAAGTAACTCGCTACTTTTTAGAGTAGTTAGTAGTTTACTCAATTACTATTACAAATGCGTAATTTCTACTCTACTCCAATTACTTTTGGCGTCGATACTCAGTAACTTAACTTAACTACCTTTTTTGAGTAATTCGTACATGTCTGGTTTTCCTACATCATGCCGAAGGTTCGGACCATTATTTTTTTGCTTGTAGCTTTGAGCTGAATTCTTTCCTTTTCTATCATGTACTTCCTCGGTGCCTCCTCGGATTTCTATTGTGAATTGAAATAAGCCTCTTTTCGAAAACTGTGGGAAAAAAAATCGGTTTTTTTCTTGCACTTTCTTGGCAAAAGCAGGAACAACACGGAATGTATTTCATGTTGCTTTACTGTAAGGATGCACAGGTGAACTTATCACAAACATTTCGTGCCCCAGAGGTGAGTACGAGCTTTCGAGGCGTAGGCGTCAATTTTTCAAGCTCGTTTTACAGTGAACATTCTGCTTGGGACACCCTAAACATTAGAGCTAAAAAACTCACTATTACCGCTTAAAAAAAAATGCTTTGTTTTTACAGGCAAAGAATTAAGCTTGAGATATTTGAGCAACCACAAAAACAACAAATATGTGCAGGTCAGTTTCAGAGACTCAAGTGCTAACTTGCGAGCAACGTTCACGAGACTGGGTCTTTAAAGCATGAAATACTTTATAACGATACCCCCAATTCCAAAATTGTGTTCGTCCGTCCATCTGTCCGTGCATTTGTCACTGAAATCAGCGGGAAAACAGATATCACGAGACCTATACACAAATTCAGTTTCTCGGCTAAATTTAGCGGGAAAATTGATGTAACGTGACGCGATATCACGGTACATACAGATCAATTCAGTTTCCCTGCTAAATTTGGCGGAAAATTTTACGTCACATGATTTTACACCACTTCAATTTCCGTGCTACATTTGGCGGGAACGTGGCGTCACCTGACGTCACGTGACCTCTATGTTTTAGAGAAATTGGCGTCACGTGACCGGTACGTCAACCTAGTTTTTCCGCTAAGTTTTGCGGGAAATTGACGTCACGGGGCCCCTTCACCAATTCAGCTACCCGCTAAATTTAGCGGGAAAATTCACGCCTAGGCACACAGACCAATTCAGTTTCCCCACTGAATTTAACGGGGGAAATCGACGTCATGTGACCTACAAGTCTGCATAATTTCTCCGCTAAATTTAGTGCGAAAATTGACCTCTTGTGGTCACAACATCAATTCAATCTCCACGCTCAATTTAGCGGGAAAATTGATGTCACGTGACCACAACACCAATTCGATTCCCTGCAAAACTTACCGGACATATTCAGTTTGTCGCTAAATTTAGCGAGAAAATTGACGTCATGTGACCTTAACACCAATTCAATGCCCTGAATTTAGCAGGGAACTTTCCCTCTAAGTCTAGCGGAAAAAATTACTTTTTTCATGGCTGACGTGACACCAAGTCATGTGAGGTCATTTTCTCCTCTTAGCGGGGAAGCTGAATTGATGTTGAGGTCTCGTGACGTCAATTTTTTGCTACGTTTAGCTGGGAAACTGTGGGAGGAGGGGAGGGTAAAGAGCAAGGGGATGGGAGGAACTGGAGGGGGAGGAGGGGAGGGTACAGAGGAAAAGGAGAAGAGAGGAGGAGAGGGTACGGGGGAGGGGGAGGAGGGGCATACCTTCTCCTCCGTACTCACCCCTCCCCCTCCACAAGAGCTGCGCTCTAATTTCGCATTACAGAGGTTTGTCTTTCATATTTTCATGTTTCCATTAAGAAACTTTTTTAAAAGTAAACATTTGCCAGAGTTCCGTCTGGTCTGGAGCAATTAATTATTAAAAAGTTGAAACGCCAACCAAGCTTTTCTAGGGACCCTACGTTTCGAAGCCCATTCGGCCCCATCTTTAGGGGCTCAACGGCCATAGCCGTAGTCGCCCCTGAAGAGGCCGAATTGGCTTCGAAACGTAGGGGCCCTCTAGGAGGGCTTGGTTGGTGTTTCAACTTTTTAATAAGAAACTGTCTTGTTTGTTTCACTCTCTTCAACGGTTATCGTGTTAGGTGACGGGCCAGGCCGCGCTCCTTGTCCAATTGACGCGCCAGTGCCTTCCAGTCCTTCATATATTCGAGGAAGCGGTGCACGCAGAGAGATTTGCTCACAACCTTGGTCAGCCTTTCTTCAAAGGGAACGATGAAGTTACGCTCCAAGCTTGTTCCCAGCTGGTACTGCGGAAACAAAAAAAGATATAGCGTGAGATGTAGGCATCTGAATTACGTTTTTTTACAGGAAGCTCCAGACTGTGAATGGTTCATTGCTTGTGGATGGGGCCAGCTGAACATTAAAATTTCATGAAAAAGCTACAGATTATTTCAGCCATAACTCTACTGCCTAACTTGAAACATTTCATTGAACGATAACGTAAGGCCGGAATGTATTCTGCGTGGTAAAAATTGTGCTTTTCCACTTTCACCTTTCTGCTAGTGAAAACGTTTGCCTTATTGAGGATAATTTTGAAATGAAGTAGTGATTTCAAATACATATGGTAGGAAGGAACATAATAGAAAAGTGTATGGCAGATGTTATTGAAAGGGTTTTGCCTACTTCGGCGGATCTGACGAAAGTCACCCAATTCCCGTTGGGCGTGGCAACGCTCAAAACGCCCCCATGCGGAGTTTTATTTGCTCCGGTCGGCGCTTTCTTGTCGTAACCGATGTGCCTGGAACAGTGTTACCAATTTGGCGGGTTTTTTTTTTAGTTGTCAAGCGGGACAAGTGAGCGTTTTGCGGGCGGTGAGATTTTGAGCGATTTTCAAGTCAGGTTAGCGTTTTTAATGGCGGTCTAAGATGCTCTCAGATTTACATTTATGAATCATAAATAACTTAATTTCTGTAGTAAGCTAGAGTCATGGTTTAAAAAAGAAAACACACACGAAACAATTAGATGTGTAGGGACGAAGACAGACAGTATTGTTCTTTGTACTGTCTGTCTTTTCGTTTTCGTAGAGTCATGATCTTTCCGTTTCTTCACTCTGTCTTTTTGTTTTTGTAGAGTCCTAGAGTCGCTATTTTGGCTTACTGCCAGCAAAATTGTTTTCAGTAATAGCAACGCCTGAGACGCCATCGACATATCACAATGGCAAACCTCGAAACTCATCTTCAACTGATTTGTTCGCGCATGACTCAGTTCGTTTTCCAGCTCTCCCAGATAAAATGCGCCATTAAACTATGCACATAAATTTAGGAAATATGGGGGCAATATAGTTATAAGCTTCGATACCGGAGTTTGTATGGTGTAGGTGACGGTAGACGAGTCAGACACACCGGAAAATGCTATAACTTTTTCCAAAGCATGCGAATCTGGTCACTGAAGCTTCCAAATACCAAAACAACATTGCATTAATTATCGAATGATGGAGGTGAACGTCGGTAGGTTTGGCAGACAATGCGCCTGCTAACACAAGCATGGTAACAGTAAGATTATGCAATGAACATCGGTTTGTGCATGGAAGCAATTTGCGTCGAACAACGTAACTCCCTTTAAAGAGTTTCTTTTTTATTTATTATGTTATTATGGACTGAATATGGCAATGTATTATGTGATCCAAATATTGAGCGTATTAAATGGTTTCCCATAATTACTACAGCTGGTGTTCGCTTTTTGCGTTTGCAACACTGGTCGGTGAACTATGCGTACAATATCTCCAACAATAGAATAGGAGTGGAGTTTCGAAATCCTGAAAGTTTCCGTTCTTTATCCATTCTCAATACGTTCTCGTCAATATATTATGACACCTCATCAAACCTCAAGAGTTTCATGCTGTGAGAAGATTGCAATAATAATAAAAATAATAATAATTATAATAAGGTTTATTTCCCATTCGGTACAGGAATGGAGGAAACAGAGGGAAAAATCTGTTCAACAGTTTGACGGAGCCCCCTGCTCCCTTACAGCTCCACATGACAGATTCAAATACAAAGCAACAGCAAAAATATCAACATTGTATACAAACATAGATTATAACCCATCGCAGAAAACTAATATATTCAATTCAAATAAAAAATAAATCCTGCATTGTGACAGAAAATATATCAACGTTTTTGTTTAAGAGGAAATTTAGTAAAGTATTTAGCATATACTTTAGAGACTGCAAGGAATAGTTGCTATGGCAAAGAGGCACAGCCCGACGTGTCGCCGAACGAGTTGGATAGGAGGTAACACATTCCTTTAGTTTAGAAAGTTTAGCCAAAATATCCACGTTTCTTTTTTTTTCTACCTTAAAGCGGACCATCAGTTTATACTTATACATATCGAAAACACGCAACAAATTATAGTTTTTAAACAAACCCTCGGAGCTTGAAATATAAGAAACATTAGCTACGAGGCGGACAAATTTTTTTGTAGTAGGTGTATTTTTTGTAGATTTGACTGGTGGTTGTACCCCATACCAAGTGGAAGTAGTTTAAGTGGGATGTAAATAGAGTTTGATATATAAGTAGTTTAACGTTGTTTGGTAAAATAAAACGGTTTCGTGAGACTAATCCAAGACTTTTAAAATTCTCCACTAACTCTATAACATTTGATTTTATTACGAGACTTTTCGTCATAAATACGCTTTTATTTTTGGTTCGAAAGAGAATTGCTTTGGTTTTACTAATAATGATTTAAGCCTTTGTCGGATGTCCAATTTTGCAACCCTGTTAAAGCATCATTTGCGCAGTTCATAAGTTCATCACTAGTGTTAGCCGAATATAAAAGGGGTGTATCGTCTGCATATATAACAAATTTAGCAAGATAATCTATGTTAACAATATCATTATTGGGTGATTTCAGATAAGATCGACCAAAGGATGGCTAGTCGACATTTTCAAATCAACTGATGTTTTTATACGTTATTGTCTAGTGTCTGGTAGGAACGAATCCAAACTTAGTTTTGACTAGAAAAAATACTTGGGGACAGGAAAAATCGTAAGGCATGAGGTGGTGGACAGTTGCATTAACGCGCACTGATGGAGGGGGCCCGTTTGAGAGTGAATGACTAAAGCGATAACATTAGGAAAACTCTAATACGTTTTAGGCGCAAACTATGGGTATAGCTTGCTTGTAATATAAAGTAATCATATTTATTTAAAATTTATTTATTTTTCTAAAAATTGACAAACATGCCTGCTCGAACGACAAATGGCAAACTTTGGAGGTCTGTATCTCATGAAATAATTTAATCATTATAATATAATTTGCAGATATTATTCTACTAATATATAGCTAATATTTAAAAAATAACTAAGGTATCTGTGTGATACAATAGTTAGGATATATTTAGTCAAACATGGAAAAAAAATCAAACAAAGAAAAATTCCGATGCGAATAAAAAAAGAACACCACCCTCGATTTTTTTTAAATTTAGGTAACCTGTTATACTCTATTTCGGCATTCATTTCCATTAAAAACATGTTGCATCATTTTATTTAGAAAGAAGATACAACTCCCCAAAGTAGGGTCCTTTTTCAAAGCCTACACTTAGCAGTATTTTATACAAGAACTGACTCTGAGTTCCAGTTTCATGAAACCAACACACATCTTTTATATATTTTTATTCAGATGAGGCCAATGATAACTAAAGAAATCGTTCACACACTTAAATTAAGGAGAAACTACTGTGTACAAAGAGGTATCATATTACGGACTAGTGATCCGAGAAAAGATCATGCAGCCATCGGCCACTAGGAACTTTGTTTACTTTATTCTCCTGCGACACTATATGCTATTCCCTCTTCCGCTCTACCTTCATCTCTCTCTCTCTCTCTCTCATATATATCCCTGATATATATCCAGAATATATATATATTGGAAAAACCACCATGAAAATCAAACTGGCCAAGCTGGTAACTAAGCTGGTCAATCTGGTCAATGTGGTAGTCAAACTGGTATAACTGACAATCAAGCTGGTTTAAGCTGGGCAAGGTAGAATTTAAGCTGGTCAGTCTGGTTTAAGTAAAAACCAGCATGGTCTAACTAGAGTCTGGTTTTAGATTCAATCTGGTGTAGCTGGGAGCCAGTCTGGTCCTAACTGGTCAAACTGGTTTTTCATGGAGCCGATGTGGTCAAGCTGGGAGACAAGCTGGTCATGCTGGGAGACAAGCTGGTGAATCTGGTCGAACAAATAATCGTGGTGGTCAAGCTGGTCATGCTGGGAGCGCGCACGCCAAGGTCGGCTAGAGATAGCCGAAATGGCATTGCTGGGAGCGCGCGCGCCAAGGTCGGTTTAGGATAAAACGACGCCACGTCCTGTTCTTTGTCCTCTCGTTTTTGGAAGACAACAGGGCGCGTCAGGCGCGCTGCAAGCTACATTTGTGTGTGAGAAGAGAGAGAGAGTGGTAGGAACGGAGAATTTTAGACGCGTTTGGTTATCTTCGGCAGATTTTCGAAGGGAGGGCTGTGTGCGCGTTGTTTGGAGACTAGTTGAACGACGATGCAAGCGAAGCGGGTTTTGAGGAGACAGTGAGCGGCAGTCCGTTCAGTGCGGGAAGATGTCGGACGTCCCGACTGCAGCGTCGCTTCGTGTCTTAGAACGTGTGTGTGCTCGTGAATGACGGTGGTGCCGAGGAGTATCGCCAATGCCAGACAAGCCACACGGATTTCCTCGCCTCTGCCGAACACGCAAGTTGCCGCTTCGCCCCCATCACTGGCGGCACCCCAGGTTCGCTTCTCTCATCCGAGTAGTTTCTTCTTCAGCTATGGCCTGTTTTTGGCGTGTGTCTAGTATTTTTTGTGTTGAAAGATAAGCAATCTGGTGTTATTAACATTGTTCGCTTTGCACCGAGAACCACTGCCTGTGCGTCGGTTAGTACAGTGTGAGCGCCGAGGATATGTAGCATCACAGTTCATGTGAGGCGGCCGCAAGTACGAAAATAATAAATTGGATGCCGAGTTGGCTTTTCTGAAGAGCTTGGCTTGTTTATCCTGTGCATTTATTGAAACAGTTTAAACTGGTTGGGAAGTCCACCAGCATGACCAGTATAACCACCATGACCAGCATGCCAAACTGGGCATGCTGGGGCAAATGACCCAGCTTGAAGCTGGGACCAGGTCAACCAGCATGACCAGCATGCCAAGGTGGGCATGCTGGGGCAATAACCCAGCTTGAAGCTGGGACCAGATCAACCATCATGACCAGCATGCCAAGCTGGGAATGCTGGGGCAATAACCCAGCTTGAAGCTGGGACCA